ACTTTTGCTAGGCTTCCTTCTGAGGACTGGCAAAATCGAAGATGACTTGCCTCTTCGCTTTTGACCTCCTTCAATATTTCTTATATGTTAGACTTTTCAACGTAGTTAGTCTGTTTACAGTTTTCATTTTCAATGATTTTTATTTGAAAAAAAATCGCCAACACGTTTTCTTGAAGTCACAAGAATTCATATAGAATTGTTTTTCTCTTGATATATCTTTCTAAGGTGACTCTTCAGCGTTCCTTATTTCTTTGTGCCGATTATATGCTTAAATGAAAATAGGAAGTCAATCCGTTGTTCTTGAAAGCGATACCTTCACCCCTGTAGCGGCTCTTTTTTCCTTGCTGCCGATCGAGAAAAATCCTGCCAAATATGGCCTCCTAATGATTCCCTCCTCTGATACGGTCCTTATTCCTTCCCCATCCCCATCCCACCTACCTTCCTTCTAATTTCTCTCAATTCCAATCACTTCACTGGAAAATTTATCCAGTTTTTTCTCAAAGAACTGCCATGCGCCGAGCGCATATGGCGGGGAAGGTTGTGTATTTCCAGTGAAATGGGAAGAACCAAGAAAAGTTAACCACCGACATTTTTTTATTTTTCAAAGCAAATACGATAAGAGTGCTGGGAACCGAAGTTTACAGGGGAAGTTTGAAAACCTAATAAGCTTTTGTTTTCTTTTTTTACTTTTGAACTTCTACCGTCTCAACAATCATTGTTAAACAGTCTATACTGCCTCTATATTCCCTCATTTGTGCGTAATAATCGGCTTTTCCTCTGCAAGCTGAACCGTTTGTTACATAGACCGGATCACCTAGTTAAGACGCAGCCGCAAGGCTGTCAGGTAAAACTGAGAAAACTCTCGAATTATCCTAATAATCCTTGAAACCTTGAACCTCCTATTGAAATCCACGAGAAGTAATTACTAAAGCTATAGAACTCATTTGCGTCGACTTCTGTTTTCGAACAAATGCTTTGTTCTTTTTCTTAGCTAAACTGATATAAGCGCCGTATCAATAGCCTTGCACAGATAACTCCGTTGCTATAGCAGTAGCCAGTTACAGTCTTCCAGAACGCAGATATTCTGACAGGTTGAGAAAAAGTGATAGAGCTCCAGGCGACAGCTATTCGAAAGCGGGTGATAGGTGACACGACCCCAGTGCTGGTTATCCTTTTTTAGTTGGGCAGTACAAGAATGTTTTTTTTTGTTTTTATGCATAGGAGAAGCAGGATTTTCCAAAGAAGTTCGTGTACCCTGTAAACTTGCGTGTGGTGGTTTTATTGTTGCAGTCAACCAATACAGTCTTGTTCGCTGCGGATGCTAGCGCGTGTCAGGGCCGGCTTTGCCGCGGCGCCAGCCTGTCAGGCGCTCTCCTTCAATTGCTGTAGCTTTCTCCCTTAGACAATTGGTGGAGAGCGGGCTGGCGACGTACCAAACTTAGCCCCTCTCACACGCCCCA